CGAGTGTGCATGAATGCATGTGTGTGCATATGTGTGTATGTTGAGTGTGCATAAATGCATGTGTGTGCATATGTGTGTGTATGTGTATGTTCGAGTGTGCATGAATGCATGTGTGTGCATATGTGTGTACATGCAAATGTGTATGAATGCATGTGTGTGTGACCTCCATCTCTTAGAAAATCTAGATTAGACCATGACAGTTTCTTTTGCAGGGTTCCTCTTTGCTCAAGTCCCAATCCAGGTAATTAAGCTCCTGCTGGGTGCTTGTGACCAGTGTCACAGCCAGGTGAGTCCCCTTCCTTCTGTCCAGTACAGAACAGGAGTTTGAGCATTATAGACTTTTGCTCTGTTCTAGTTTTCTTTCTGGTTGGGGTGAGAGACACCATGACCTAAGCAACTTGGGGAGCAAAGGGTGTGTTTCACTTTACCGCCCATCACAGAGGGAAGCTGGGGCAGGAGCCTGGAGGCCGGAGCTGAAGCAGAGGCCATGGGGGAGACAACGCCCACTCGATTGCTCCCCGTGGCATGCTTTCTGACCTTTTTATAGGGATCAGGACCGCCTGCCCGCGATGGCACCAACCACAGTGGGCTAGGCCCTCCCATACCAACCAGGAAAGTGCCCCACAGACCTATGTGACTGTCCAGGGACCCTCTTCCCAGGTGACGCTGGGCTTGTGTCGAATTGACTCCTGAAGCTGATTAGGATGCAGCCCAGTTTTGCCAGTTATAGATCTGAAATTTGTCACCTCTCCTCCTGCACCCTGACCCCTGGTGTCACCTCTTCCAAGGAGACGTTCTAGGTGCCCCAGGTGGGGGTTACGACTCCCTGGGGGGCAGGGAGAAGCACAGACAGTGAAGGAGAAGCCGGAACCATCTTGCCAGCAGCAAATTCTCTACCCTGTTTTTATGCTGTAAACACAGGGTTATATGCTCAGCAGAACTTAACACTTTCACTTTTTTGGAGTTGTTTTTTTTTTTTTCCTTTCACATTCCCTTCTCTCGGATCTGGAAGGCAGAAGATCCTGGTTCGCTAATTAGAGGTAACCATGGTTACCAAGTTGTCTTCAAAACATCTTGAAGAGTTGTTTGGGTTTTTTTTTTTCCTCCCTCTTGGTTTTAATTCTACAAAAAGCATTTCATTTGACAGATATATTTGTTTTCTTTCCAGCGATTTGGGTGGTCTTCCCAAATTCAGGGGTCTTTTAGCAATCGTGTTAAAAGCTCAGAAATGAAATTTTTAAAAAATGACACATTGGCAAGCTGGGCGTTGGTGGTGCATGCCTTTAATCCCAGCACTCGGGAGGCAGAGGCAGGTGGGTCGCTGTGAGTTGGAGGCCAGCCTGGTCTACAAAGCGAGTTCCGGGACAGCCTCTAAAACAACAGAGAAACCCTGTCTCATAAAACCAAAAAAAAAAAAAAAAGACACATTGGAATATAATTCTGCTACGGGATTATCTTAAATTTTCAGTTGACTGGATCAGAGAGAGAGAGAGAGAGAGAGAGAGAGAGAGAGAGAGAGAGAGAGAGAGAGAGAGAGAGAGAGAGAGAGGAGAGAGTCCTACATATCGCAACATGGCCTCACCAGGAAAGCATCAGCAACAGGCATGGACAGGGAAGCATCCACTCGGGGCACCGTGTTCTTCTGCAGGAGTGGCCAGGTCCCTTCCTCTGCAGAGGTTAAGTTACTGAGTCTGGAGCTTCACGGACAGGATCATAACTCATGGCAGCAGTTTCTGTCTACTGCATTGGTTACTGCCCTAACTGGTGTTCCATTGCTGTGCAGAGACACGGTGGCCATAGCCACTCTTACAAAGAAAGCATTTAATTGGGGGCTGGCTTACAGTTCAGAGGCTTAGTCCATTATCATCTTGCAGGCAGACACGGAAGCTGAGAGTTCTCCATCTGAATCTGCAGGCAATGCAGGCAGTAAGAAAGTCCGGCTTGAGCTTTTGAAACCCCAAAGCCCACCTCCTACTGACACACTTCTTCCGGCAAGGTCACACCCACTCCAACAAGGCCACAGTTCTAACAGAGCCACTCCTGATGGCCAAGCATTCAAATCCGTGAGCCTACAGGGGCATTCCTATTCAAGCCACCAGTTAGTTTTCTCATTGCTGTAACTGCATTACCTGGCAAGGTGCCGTTTTGGGGAGGAAGGATGTATTGTGGTGGTGGTGGTGGTGGTGGTGGTGGCGGCGGCGGCGGCTGTGGCTCTCATCATGGTGGGTCAAGAAGCTGAGACAGGACTGAGGTGTCCCCCAGATCCCTCCTTTCCCTCTTCATCCTGGAATCCCGGTCCATGCGCTGATGCCACAACATTCAGGCTGGGTCTCCCCGCGTTAACACTCTCTGTAAACACCCAAAGCTGAGCTTCGCTAAAGCACTGGGCTTTCTAGGATGTTCTAGAAACATTTAGCTTAGTGAGACCATTCACCCTAGTTGCGGGTGGCGGCATCCTGCAGACCTTGGCCCTGACCTGAGCTGCTTCCTTTCTATAGATGCAAGGGACCAGCCACCTTCTCTGCTACCGCCATGGCTACTCCCACCAAGGGACTGGGGTCCTTGAACTGGGAGAAAAGCAGTCAGTCCACGAGGCCCCCTCTGCCTTTGACTTCATAATTTCCATCAACTCTTGAGTCCCTACGGATGCATCTATAGAAACATAAGGGGATATATCCCAAGACGTAACTGATTGCTGTTCTGGGGCAGACTATTCCAGGCATTGACTTTGCTGGTCTTACCGACAGAGGAGCCACGTATGAGTCCCTTTCCAGGTCACAGTTCTCCTGGCAAACTCTGTGCGTCCCTTGTCCTTATTCCTGTCTATTTCTTATTAATGGATGTCTTGGTCTTATATTTCTAAGAGTCATGTGTGGCTTTGTCTTTGGAAACTTAACGCTCACATGCCTGGTGATTCAGAAACCACTAAACAGGTCAGGTCTCCATTCCCTGGACATTGTGTTCGCTTCCAAGTCCTTCGTCCATCCCCACAACGCACGCATTCGCACACAGGGTGGGGTCTCATCCCACCCCACCCCGTGCTTGCTGGCATCCTGGAAACACAGACCTACGCATAGTTTTGAATGAATCACGGCACGTTTAGTTACCATTCCCTTCTCCGTGACCAAAGCAACTTCAGGGAGAAAGGATTTATTTTGGCTCACAGTTTAAAGGGATCTAGTCTGCCGTGGTGAGAAAAGGGTGGTGGAGGAGGAGGGAGCGTCCGGAAGTAGAGGTGGACGGGGTTGCTCAGCTGGCTTTTCCCCTTTTATTCAGCCCGTGGGATGGTGCTACTCGTGTTTACGGGGAGGGGGGGCATCCCTCTTCAGTTAATCTTCCCCAGAAGTGACTTTACAGACGTGTGCCTCCTAGGTGATTCCAAGTCCAATCAAGTTACCAGTGAAGACAGATGTGACCCATGGGGATGGGTGCCTGATGTATGAGGAGGTCTCAGAGAGCCAATTGTTGGGACTCAGTGAGGTGGGAACCCTGGGCGGGGGTGGCAGCGTATTGTGTTATCTACTTGGGTCTTAGTGTCACATGGATTCTAACTTCTGCTCAGGTTAAAGATTGCTCTGACCGTTGTTGCTGGGTGTTGGTGGCGCACGCCTTTAATCCCAGCACTCCGGAGGCAGAGGCAGGCGGATCTCTGTGAGTTCGAGGCCAGCCTGGTCTACCGAGCGAGTTCCAGGACAGCTTCCAAAACAATACAGAGAAACCCTGTCTGGGGAAAAAAATTGCTCTGACTGTTATCTTCCCAAGGTCCCTTCTCTACCACCAAAGATACACTGAGTATCCCAGTGGGTGATGGTGGGCTGAGGTGGGCCCGCTGAGGCATGACACAGAGATGGGACTATGTTGCTTTTCATGTCCATCCCTCCGTGTCTCCTTGTCCTGGAGGCCTCGGTCAGGAGGCGTTGTGGGTAGTTGTTCCTAGATCACCTCTGGATGTCTCTGTGGCCTGGATCCCTCTACCGATGCCCACAGAGAATGAACATATTGGGTTCTATCATGGACGACAGAAGTCCCCCCGAGCTCTGACTGCAGTGGGCCGGGGGCTGAGGGAAAGCTGTCACTGGGTATTGTTAAACTCTTTCCTCCAGACTGAGCATTGCCTGGCTCATCAGGCTCATGCAACAAGATGCAAGGGGCCCCCTCCCTCGGCTATAAAAGTGGAAAATGATCTCTGGGTGAGAGGAGACTCTTCCGTGGAGTTGCCTGTGGGTTGTACAGGGAGTGCGAGGGTTGCAGCTTTCGTGGCTGCCCCCCAATGCTGGGGTGTGCTTTTGGGGGATGCAGCTGCCTGACTCACCCATGCTTCCATAAGCAGCCCTGATAAGCCCATCAAGCCAAGTGTGGATGAAAACATTTCTTTGGTCTATCTGTGCCCCCTCTACTTGGGGCAGAACAGACATGGGTTCCCCAGGACAAAGACATCGGCTGTGTGCTGCATCGGTGAAAGTCCCAAGAATGGGCTGGGGCCAGCAGCACCATCATCCCCTGGGCATCGGTTTGGACTTGACCCCTGATTTTCTGGGTCAGAATGTGCAGTTCACCACAATTCCCTACACTCCGTAGTTCACGGGGTGCTGGGTAATGGAGTCCTAGGTGCATCAGCCTTCCAGTCTGGGACTCATGAGCTGGGGGACACCAGGGTCAGCCACTTCCACCTCCCCGGACTCCCCTTGTCTGTAGAGGACAGGCTGTGGGGTGATCACTGCCCTGTAGCTCATTGAGGGTTGAGGGAACCCTAAAGAAATCTCCGGGTGGGAGATCCTGGGAGAAGAGATCAGGGATAGGTGTAGCCAGGGCTAGGCCTGGAGCTGAGTCCAAGGGCCGATCCACAAGCCACCTTGCATTGAGTGGAGAGCTCAGCTCCATGCCCTGAGCTCATGTCCCATGACTTTTCTGGGACCATCATCTGCAAGGACTCCCCTGTGGTCACCGGGTGCCACTCTCCCTCCTTGTCCATTCTGGGGACCCTGGCTGGACACAATGAATGAGGGGCAGAGGGAAATCTCTTTAATAGCATAGCAACAACATTAGGTCTGGGATTCACTGGAGGAGAACACTGCCTTCAGCCTCCAGCTGCGCTGAGGTGTGTGGCTGGGCCGCACTGCACGCTCTGGACAGACAGGTTTCACACTGGGGGCTTAATAAATAGATGCTCAAAACGTCAGACAGCAGAGGCAAGGGGTTGTGATGCATGACTGTTTTTCTAGGACGGGTACTCGTAGTCCTCGGCGCTTCGCCGGCCAAAATCCATCCAGCCCATGTAGTCCCGGTCACTTATCCTGTGGCTGGGGTCCAGGCTCTGCAGGGACTTAAGAACAGACATGCGGCCGGAAGGAGCTGGAGGTAGAAAAAGAAGAAGGAGACAAAGGCTGTAGATCCGAGAATAAGACTGAAGCAGTGGGGAAGGCCAGAATGTGCGTGTGTACATGTGTGTGCGTGTGTGTGCACGCACGTGCATGTGTGTATATGTATGTTCATGCTTGTTCAGTGTACATACATGTATATACACACTTCCTCAATCTTGTCTCCATCTCTCTCGCTGTACCTGGAGCTCACTGACTGTGTCTGCCTCCCCAGCACTGGGGTTGTGGGCTTGCTGCACATCCAGCTTTCTCCCGTGGGGCCTCGGGGGATGAGCTGAGGTCTCCGTGCTTGTGCAGCAAGCCCTTCACTGACAGCCATCCCAGCAGGCTTCTTACAGGCATCCGACAGCTGCTGCCAAGCCGAAGCAAAAAGAAGAGGAGACGCTCCTGTGGAAGGGTTTGGAGGGGTGTGCTTCTCCCTGCCTTGCTCAGCCCGGGAGTTGTCTGTGTTTTCCTGCCCCAAACAGCCTTTCATGGTGCCTATAACTCGCAGCAGAAGCCACACAAGGATCTTCCCGGGACCCACTGCTTCTCAGTGTCACGTCCCAGCTTTCCGGGACACTGTGATTCAAAGATGAGTTTTTTTTTTTTTTAGAGATAGAATCAGGGAACCAAGAGGGAGGTGGATGGCTTAGCAGGTGTGAGCGCTTGCTGCGTAACCCTGACAACCTAGGTTCAGATTTTCCTGGAATCCATGCTGGACACACTGATGCATGTCCTAGGCTGAGACGGGAGGCGGAGACAGGAAAATCCCCCGGAAGCTCATGGGCCAGGCAGCCCGGAGTATGAAAGGCAGTGATGAACAACAAAACACAATACAGCCTAAAACTAGAAGAAGGTGAGGACCAACCAATACCTGAAGTTGTCTTGTGACTTCCGTATGTGTACCGTACACACACACACACACACACACACACACACACACATCTCACACACACACACACACACACCCCACACACACGCAGGCACACACATGCATGCACGCACATGAATAAATATTCTTTTTAGAATGAGGACCAATCAGCTCAGTGGGTAAAGATGCTTATTTCTAAGCCTGGAAATGGGAATTTGAGCCTCTGGACCCACACAGTGGAAGAGAGCAGATCCCTGTGAGATGTCCTCTGAACTCAACACCACCATGGCATGCCCCCTCACAACTAAATGTGTTTTAAAAAATGAAATCAAGTTCTCCTTCTACATGAATATTGTTTAAATATTGTTATCTTTGAAAGCTGTAGTCTTGGGAGGCAGAGGCAGGCAGATCTCCGTGAGTTCGAGGCCAGCCTGGTGTGCAGAGCCAGTTTCAGGACAGGCTCTAAAACAATACAGAGAAACCCTGTCTTGAAAAACAAACAAACAAAACACAAGAACAAACAAACAGAAAAATATACTCTGTCAAAATAAAACACTGGCAACTTGGTAACATTCAAAGACACTGAGAAGTCACAAAAGATGAAGCTTAAATCAGCCTTTACGACCAAAATACAATGATGGAACCTGCATTGGGGTCCTGCCTGTGGCAGCTGTGTGATCTGGGCAAGGAGGGGCGTGGTGACATGATTCCTTCCTCTGTGGGCAGAAGCATGGTCCCAGCCCACAGATGGTTGGCAACGGCCTCCTGGACTTGTACCCAGTGTAGAGCCTTTTGTAGAACCTCTCAATGGCTCCCACTTCCTGGAACCAGGGCTCCCACCTTTGGGTAGTTTGCTGGTTGCTTCCCTGTCAGCTCCTGCCCCTGGGCTAGCACAGGCAGAATAGGATTACTTGGCCCATGCTACAAAGCAACCCTAAGGAGACCCATTGGGTCACTGAATAAAGAAAAAGGCAGTGGAGTAGAAGGGGGGTTGGCTGGGAAGAGAACTAGGGCGGGGGGGGGAACAAGTGAGGGCAGTGTGGTTTGAGTGTGCTATAGATGCACTAAATGTCATAAGAAACGCACCACCATGACGTGATTAGTACATACTTATAAAGCTTTTTAAACGACACTGCAGAAGCAGTTACATAACGAATGTAACCAGTTAAACTTAAAACTGAAACCACCACAGCAAATAGCAGCCCACGTTTCGGCTCTCGGATGCCATGTCTTCCCGGTTTTGGAAAACTGAAAGTCCACTTGCTTTGTTCTTTGGGTAGAGAGCCCCAGCCTATACAGAACAGGCCCTGCTGCTTAACTGCTTATAATCACTCAGGTAAAAAAAAAATACATGCATGCATACATACATTCATACATACATACACACATACACACCTGCAGTCAGAAATACATGCCGTCCAGTTCCCTGTACAGTCACATGAACGCATAGCTGGCCTCTGGCCTGCTTAGGGATTAGTGTCCACTGTGGGGCTGAGCATAACCAGTGCTTCTATCGAGCTAGCTGTCTGGTCAGTGGCTGGGCACTTAACAGTCACGGGAGCTGTGTTTGGCACATGCCTCGGCTCTCACAGCCTACACAGATCTGTCATCAGGCATGTGGTTATCACCCTCCATCCGTCCCCAGCACCACACAGCCAAGGACTTAGAATGGCCTGCAACAAAGCCATCTGACTCCTGCAGCAGGTAAGCTGGGGAGCTGCATGGCCTCCAGGCCTCGGGGGAGGTCAAACCTGTATAGATTCTCTCTGCTGCCTCCTAGATGTGCCAACATAAGCACAGATGTTATTTGCTTTCTTTAGCGCTGGCTTCCATAAGTGAGATGCTCGCGTGAAGAATGGTTTTAAGGCCTGAGAGAGATGCATGGAGATAGCATTGGATGCTAGTGCCGTTGGTGCCTCCCTTACCTCCCAAGGGAGCACATTTCCCCCTGGACCACAGATACCTCTCCCACCTCCCAAGGGAATATCCCCCCCTGGATCACCGATGCCTCCCCTACCTCCCACAGGAATGAATATGCTTCCTCTGGGACCACTGAGGGCTCTGCAGACAAGCCCTAAAGATAAACTTGGTTTTATTTTATATTTCAGTCTTTGCTTTTAAATACAAGATCTCACGTAGCCCAAGCTGGCCTCAAACTTGCTGCACAGCAGAGGCTAGCTTTGAACTGATCTGACCACCTCCTGATGCTGGGATTACAGCTGTGTACCGCCACACTCGGTATCACGTGGTGCTCCAGTTGAACTCAGGATTGTGTGCATTCTAGGTCAGCCTACCAACTAAAACCAAGCCCCAGTCCCTCAAAAAAGTATTGTGTCTAGAAATTTTAAGAATAATATGTATTAGAGTTGAATAAAAAATATTGTAAAATATTCAAAGAAATTGTACAGTATTGACAATATTGTTCCTGAGTTTATATTTTGTCAAATAAGTGAGCATCGCTCTTTTATACTTAGCCCTGACCCCGGGTGTGAGCAAACAAGCTTTCAAATGATGGCTGCTCCTTTCTGGGCTCAGTGGAGGGGAGACAGGGACTGAGAAGAGAGCTTGGGGCAGCTTCCAGCCTAGACCTCTGCTGGGAAAACCACTGTCATGTGTCAGTTCTAGACAATAATTCAGCAGCCAGGCTTTCTGTTGCTAGAACTGCTTGGGATATTCCCAAACTCGGGCCAAAAGGTTCTAGACTGATAGCTCAGTGAAAAGTCTAGAAAAGTCTAGAATACTTCAGAAGGGACTGCTGACCACACCAGAGGGCAGATCCTATACAAAGTGACAGGCGATCAGAAGAACTGGGGAGGGGGCATCCCAGGTTCCCAGGTTACCTGGTGTGTGTGTGTGTGGTGTGTGTGTGTGTGTGTGTATGCGTGTGTGTTTGTGTGTATGCGTGTGTGTGTATGCGTGTGTGTGTGTTTATGCATCTCTCTCTCTTCCCTCCCTCCCTCCCTCCCTCCCTCCCTCCCTCCCTCCCTCCCTCCCTCCCTCCCTCCCTCCCTCCCTCTCTCTCTCTCTCTCTCTCTCTCTCTCTCTCTCTCTCTCTCTCATATCTCTCCCCCTCTCCCTCCCTCCGTTGAATTAGCAGGAAAACAGCCTAGGAAGGGGTGGCTGTGGGGTGAGTTCCCAAACGGGAAGGAGCATAAGAAATCTCTTGATTACCCTGAAGTCCCCTGATCTCATCTTCACGTGGGACTCTAGGAGACTCAACCAAGCTCCCCAGTTTCCCCTCACTAGTTAAGCCCAATGCCCTGGGTTGTTCAAATGCAGACAGGACACCTTGAGTAAATGAGCTCTACAGAACGAATGCCCACCTCCCGAATTTTAATCCAACTCTACCGATTCAGTTTAACACACCCCGGCCCTAAGTCACCATCCAAGTCCCTGCTGATAAAGCCAGAGATGAAAGCTGTCTTGGTGGCAGCCATGACTCCCGAGCTGGGAGGGGATCTGGACTGCTCTGCCCCCATGGCCTCTCTGAAGATGAGAGATTTGGGTACAGGAGAGGAACCCTCAGCTGTCAAGCTGCTGAATGGCTCACGGGGTTCGTGAGGGGAAAGCCTGCCAATGCTGATAAGAACCCAGAGGTGGTCAGCACGGTGGCCACCTTCCTAATAGCTACGGAAGTGTAAAATACAGTTTTCTCTCTGTGACCATCTTGACTGTGCAGCCAAGGGAACTCCTGGGCCTTTGACCCTTTCCTCCTGCTCTGTACTGGGGGACAAGCACACGGTGCCAACTGCGTGTCTCAAATCTCAGGTTTTCTCAGCAGCGACCTATTTCCGGCCAGAGGGGTCCCGATGACTGCGTGGTCCCCATCCTGCTGCATATACAGCAGAGAGGAGAGGGCGGATCTGGGGGCTCTTACCAGCACTCGATTATTTTTTTTTTTATGTTTTACTAAAGCCGTGTTGGACTTCAGCTCTAACAGAAGGGGTGAGCCGGCGGCTCCTCTTACCCACAAGGTAAGCCTTCCACCCATCTCCCCTCTTGGGTGCTGCGAACACCACCAGCCAACGCCACAGTGCGGTGCGGAGTACCTCAGGGAAGGAAAGTGGAAATCTTGCTCCTCGTGCGTTTGGGTTTCCTCCTCCCTGCAGGCGCTTTGGAGATCAGGATTGGGAACCCGGAGCCACAGCAGCAGCCGCGGCAGCGGGAGGGAGAGCAGCCGACATCCGGACATCCTTACCTCTGCGGGCCTGCTGCATGTATCGCGCTAACAGTGCGCCCAGGCGCGCTCTGGGCTCGCCGTCCGTCCTGAGCACCGCCCTCAGCTGCCTTCGGGGCGCTTCCTCGGCCCGCTGCACCGCGGAGTCCCCGGCTTCTGCCGGTGCCACTGGCTGCGTCAGGGCGCCTGCGGCCAGGACTGCCATCAGGACGCACAGACACACGCCGCTCTTCATGGCTGCGGGGAGCGGAGGCGAGGATCGTGAACCAAAGGCTGACGTCGGCGGGCTGCAGCCGAAAGTCCGGCACACCAAGTCCGCCGAGGCTGAACGCGGGGCTGTAGCCGCCAGGCTGGCTCATGCCCTAGAGCGTGTCAAGTCCAGTCCCTGGATGCGCTCTGGCCACCGCGCTCCTGGGGACACTTCTGCCTGGCTTTTGTGTTATCCACACCCAGGGCCCGGGAACCCGCAGAGACCCCATTTTTTCTGCGGGGTTCAGAAGCAGCGCCTCTTGCTTTCCTGAAGTTAGAGGATGCCTTTATAGCTCATTTCTCTACTAACCAGAAAACACAGAGTGAGTGAGGAGTGTCTCTCTCTCTCTCTCTCTTTCTCACACACACACAGAGAAAGAGAGAGGAAGAGAGGGGGGGGTGTGAGGAGGATACTCCCGGAGAAAAATGCAGGAGGTTAAAAGCCATCTCCACAGAAATGAATGGGACGACAATGGGAAGCCGTTCAAAGCATGGGCGCATACGAAGAAGCTGTGTTTGTTTATAGCGGCTCCTCGGCATTTATATGGGAACGAACAAGAAGTCACTATGCAGAACAAAACCCAGAACTCTGCACCCACTCCTGAGTTGTGGCCAAAGCCCTGGAACATTTTCGAACTGACCTGATGGGACCTGCGTCGTAATGATGCATTTCTAGTGCAAAAACCTTAATTTTTTTCTGCAGCATTTAGAAAATGGGTATGTCTTTAAAACCTCTTGGTATTTCCTTTTAAATGAGTGCAAGGTGATCCGAACATCGTGGGAACCCTAAGAAATTACTATCCCCGCCTTGCCATGAAGATAGCACACAGAGGAACAAGTCTCCGCGCAGCAGTACCCACCCAGGCTCATCTTAAGATCCAGAGCGGTTATTTCTGACTTCAGGAAATCTTCCCAGCTGTCAAAGGAGGGAAGGCACAGAAAACAGAAAGACGATACGGCAAGGGCGCAAAGCTACGGGCCAGTATTCTTCACACTCGTGATTCTTGCGTCCGCCAGCGGAGACACCGACTTACCTTTGGCGGGGGAATCAGCTGGCTTGGCGGTTCCCAGCAGAGCAGGCTGCAGTCCAGCCAAGTTCGGGGCCGACTGGAGGGCGGCTGCCTCTTAAATAGCCCCGCCCGGCGCGCGGCCAGTCATCTGTTTACCCAGTGCTGACGCAGGCAGTCCGGCAGGACGCGTGCTCAGAAGGCGGCCCCTGGCGCGACCCCCGATTGAAGTGGCCCCGGAGAGAAGGGAAACGGCCCCGTGAACGAGGACAGCCCCTCCCAGGCGGGGTGCCTCGTATGGGATCTCCTCTCTACCCAGGGAGCTTCCTTCCCAACCCGCCCAGAGCCTCCCCAATATCTTCAGGCACAGTGTCCCCTCCTGGGTGGGAAACAGTTCATCTGGAATGGAGAAGCTGACCTTGTTCAGTGAGCTTTGGGGGTGAAGGGGTCCTTCGTAGGTTGGGTGTCAGCAAATGTAATTCTGGTGTGTTTTTTGTGATCACCTTCGGACCTGAGTGGGTTCCCACGCGTGAGAGAGGGGAGTCGGGCTATCAGTTTCTCAGACCCCAATCTCAGTTGGCGTCCTGGGTCTGTTTTTACACAATTGTAAAATCTGGGTGCATCTCCTGACTTTACGCCAAAAAAAGAAAAAACAAAACAAAAAAACAAACAAAACAAAAAGCAGGAGACTTTCCCACCTGCCCACATGACTGCTGCTCCTGGTCGCCAAGGGGCGCCAGAGAGCGTCTCAGGCACCCCCAAGCTCTGGCTGGCTGAGCCATCCTGGCTTGATTTACACCTTTCCAGGGAGTTCGTGATCGCTCTTTCCAGGCCAGTCCCTCTAGAGTTACAGGCTGCTCGGCTGGATGATGAGGTCTTGGCTGGGATAAGGACTCTCCCCACCGAGCAAGAAGGAAGAGAGGCGCCGGCTGGTGCAGGGCACACATTCCCGCGACTCCCCAGCCCCCCGCAGAGCATCGTAGTCATCCACACCCTGGGGTGCTAGAGTGTGTTGTGTCCCGTGCCCCATTTCACAGAACAGAGCACAGACTGGAGACCTAGGAAGCTCACACCAGCCCCTCGCTGCTAACCCGTAACCTGGGGTTACCAGCCAGCCATGCCCAACTCAGCCCTCAATCCTTCCCTTCTGGTTTTAGTCTGGAGTGAACGGAGGAAGGTTTGGAAACACTTTCTGAATAGACAGTGTACCCAGTCCCAGAGCCCTCCGGCTGGGGAGACCATGGAAACGCAGGCGCAGGGGAGTTAGGTTCCTGGTGATGGCTCTAAGCCGTCTCTGCAACCCAGAAGAAACGTGTTAAACAGCAACAGATTAAACGCTGTGGGCTCATCTTCTCCACAAGGAAGCTCGGGTTTGAGAAATTAGCTGTCTGTGACGGAACCAAGCACATCTAGAAACGCGCATTGACCTAAAGCAGGATGGCGAATCTCGGGGCTCACTCCACTCTGATTCCGTCTGCACTTTTCTTGACCTGGACATGGACATGGAGCTGACCCCCTCCCTCCATCCCCTTAACGATTTAGCAACCATGCGCAGCGCCTAGGGACACTGTGTAACCAAGACCTGACCCAAAAAAAAAAAAAAAGCCCAAATAAATAAAACCTTTGGGGTTTGGGGGCAGGGGGTGGAGACTGAGGACTGGGGGCTGGGTGGAATGTGGGGGCTGGGGAGTAGGGGCTGGAGGGTGGCTCAGTCAGTAAAGAGTTCGGATCTCCACTAAAAGTCAAGGAAGGGAGGCGTTCTTCCAGCACAAAGGAGGTCTAGGCAGGAACATCCCGGAGCCAATTGGTGAGCTCAAGGTTTAGTGAGGATCTGTCTTCCAGAACCCAAGGTGGAGTGTGACGGAGGAGACACCTGATGTGGACCTCTGGCCTGCACCTCTGCGAAGAAGGTGGAGGCAGATAGTCTCAGAAGAAAAAAAAAAAAACGTGCTTGCAGGGTCAGGGAAGGACTGGGCTAAGGGTTCCTGGTGAGTCTGGTTGCGGAGACGTGGGAAGGTTCCTAGAGCACAGAAGGGAGACCAGGACAGGCTAGGAGGACAGGAGGAATGAAGACCGATTTATGTTTAGTCTAGTGAAATCCGTTCGCTATCGCGAAGTGTAGCAGACACCATGCACGTCCCAAGTGCCTGTGACTGAACACTCAGATCATTAGAGCTGTAGGCATACGTGAAGACTGCAGTCACAGGTGCAGCCTCTTGCCCTTGAGGACATACATGCAAGGGTCGCTTCGTGACTGGGGACGACAGGGAAGTTTCCTGGCTGAGAGACAAGGATGTATGGAGGTGTATCGCCCACGCCGGGAGTTTGGGGGCGGGGAGCACACCAACTGATGTGTGTAAGGCAGGGGGTGGGTGGAGAATCCGGGTTGTCGATGGGCAGCTGGGAGGAGGTTGGGATGCTTGGTCCTAGGCGGAGGGACACCAGATGCTGCGTGTAGACGGTGGCTTCCCACCTGGCAGTCCCATAGGGACAGAGGCTTGAAAGGCAGGAAGGGAAGGTTCTCACCGATCTCAGCAGTGACAGCAAGAAGGGAGGAAGAGGAGAATTGGGGTTGATGGAAGTACCACCAGGAGAAGCCAAAGGTGACCTGGACAATTAGCCGGAAGAAGGCTTGTGCCATGGGATCTTCATTGGAGACAACGCTGTAGCCGTGGCATCCCCATCTTCCCTGGGAATCCTGAGCAGGAGTAGTGGAAAATTAGTGGAGAAGTCTGGATCCCATGGCTGTCACGATTCAAGCAGACGAGAAGAGAGCAGTCACTCTAGTCCTTCAGCAAGAGAGCCAAGGCTTTCATTTCTCTTGTGTTTGCTAATACCCCCTGAAGCAGATGCCTTTTGAGCCAATGTCCTTGCTTCACGCTCTCCCTCCAGACTCAGGCTTCCAGCCCTTCCTCCCCCACCAGCTCCACCCCTCTTCCTCAAAGCCTGTCAGTGAAGATGGTGCTCCTAAGAGGGCTAGCCTAAGACAGCAGGTATGGAGAACAGCTCTCCATGGAACATTCTAGAAACTTCTGGAAAGTCCTCAAAGGTCCTTCCCTACAGCAGTCGCTCTGATGACATTTCTGACCAACTTCTCCTGGTCTTCGCTTGCTTCTGCCTCCTGAGATAATTTCTCAACACCCCCAACCCTGTAAAACATGCCAGCAGTAATGCCAGGCACTGCAGCTGTACCACAGCAAACAAAACACACATCCCTGAAGGGTGGCACTCCCACAGTTGGGGGAGTGGAGACAGGGAACAAACAGAGAAAACAGGTCACATATGTGATGGTCATGCATGGGTACGCAGGTGTGGGGAGGGGGCGGAGACGGCTGAGTGACAAGTCTGCCCTGATGCTTGCAAAGGCGTGCTAGAGGGCCCTCTTGCTAGGGTCTCTGGTGGGTGCTTAAGAAGAAGGGGCTTGCCGTTCTGCCCGAATAAAGAAGGGGTCTCACCGTGTGTGCCTCGTCTGTTGCGAGATGGTTTGGATGTGAGACATCCATTCACAGGCTCTCGCATTAGGACACGAAGTCCCAGCGCGTGGCTTGCTTTGAGGGACTGTGGAGCCTTTAGAAGGTACAGCCTCACGAGAGGGAAGTGGCCACTGGGACAGAGCTGGAGGTTGACAAGCGGCCCCCCCCCCCGCTTTCTGTCTCCACTCCCATGCACTCCGGGACTCCTCAGTAGGAGCCCAGAATTCCTCACAGGTGGACCCTTCCTGTTCCCTGCGGAGGATCGACGCCATCACGCCCAGATGTTGTTTTTGAGAGGAAGCAGTGGAGAGAAGAAATCAATGGCTGTTGGCTGATTTGGGACTCCAGAATTGTGTGTTTGTTTGTTTGTTTTAATGTTGATTGACAAGCTGGAGAGGTGGCTCAGCCCTGTTAAGAGACCTTACTGTTCCTGCAGAGGACACAGGTTTGGGTCCCAGCATCCGCCTGGTGGCTCACAGCCATGTGCCACCCCAGTCCTAGGGCCTCTGACACCGTCTGACTCCTCAGGCCCTGCACGTGTGTGGTCCGCATACATGCATGCAGGCTAAACACCCCATACCTATAAAATAAAATAAATCAACCTAAAAAAACCCTGTAATGTTAAAAAGATATCTCGTCCAGACTTAGGGAGACATTTCAAAGTGCTGAAAAATATGTGACATTTTCAACAAAGGACATTTGCAGTCAGGAGAAGCATCTCAGTGGCACACGTCCATTTGATGGTGTAGAAAGCTTAGTGGACTATCAGGGGACAAGCAGGAGACGTGTTTATTATTCATTGGATTTCTACTTGTCACAGCTCATCCGTGTTTAATAGAGGTCAAGGGAGGCTGTCCGATGCCACCAGAGAGGTGTTGGTTTGACGATACTGTTTTAGGTCTCGAGGGCTTTTTTTTCTCGTGGACATATTTTAGAAATGTCATTTGTTGTACGGTTTTCCTGGTACATAAAATGTCTGTTGACTGTGGTTGTGCTTTCTTGTCTGGACTGACAACCCACAAATAACATGGAGACTGATTATTGGCTGCAGAAGCTCAGCCTTAGTTCAGGCTTTCCCCCACAACTGGCTCTTACAACTTAATTAACCCGTGTAGTTTAAACCTACGTCTGCCACATGGCTCAGTTGCCTCTCATTAGTACGACTTGCTGTGAGTCCGAGGGTGAAACCCAACCACCTGTTCCTCCTCCTCTTCCTCTGTCTCCCTGGAAATCCCGCCTGTCCTCTTCTACCTGGCTACTGGGGGTTCAACTTCTTAATTACACCAACCACGGCAACACGCCTTCACACAGCGTACAACTAACTATTCCGCAACAGCTTACTACACGGATCTCCCAGCTCCTGTCTTCTAGATGGAAAGAACTCAGTAGAGAGACAGAGACGGTGAAAGAAGTCTGCTGTGAAGCTGAGCCAAGTGTTCACTTCAACAAGAGACTGGACTATAAGTTCAAGGCCAGCCTGGTCTCCAGAGTGAGTTCCGGGACAGCCAGGGCTGCTACACAGAGAGATCCTGGAGCAAGAGAGACAGAGAGACAGAGAGACAGAGACAGAGACAGAGAGAGAGAGAGACAGACAGACAGACAGACAGACAGAGATAGAGGTTGGGCTGGGCTGTCTCAAGAGTGGATAGGGCACAATAACTTTTTCATTGTGGGTTTTAAAGACGTTTTTAGTGAGTATTTA